AAAAGATTTCCACAGTCTGAGTGGCTTCTTAAGGCGATTTTATATAACTCGTAAAGTCCGCTAGAACTTGTTTTTCCTACTCCTAGACGATCAGTTAACTGGGAAGGTGGTGGGGGTGTTGTTTTTCTCTCCAGTTCCCCTCTGAGCCACGGCCTGTGGTTTCGTCTTTCCCGCTTTCCCCTCCCCTCCCGGGTTCCAGCAGCCGCAGTGCTTCCGTCTTAAAGGGGCCGCGGCGGCCGGAGGAGGAGGAGGAGGAGGTGGAGGTGGGGCGCCCTCGGGTCTGCGCTCCCAGCCTCCGCGCCTCGGCCTGGTCGTTTAACCGATTCTTTCACCCGCAGGTCTCAACCCAAGCACCCGCTCCTCTGCGTCCCGGGGCCGGACGGAGGGATGAGGCAGGGGGGGCCCGGGCAGCGCCGTTGCTGCTCCCCCCGCCGCCCGCAGCCATGGAAACGGGGGAGGCGGACGGCGCCCGCCGAGGTACACAAAGCCCCGAGAGGAAAAGGCGAAGCCCAGTGCCGCGGGCGCCCAGCGCGAAGCTGAGGCCAGTGGCTGCGGCCCAGGCCATGGATCCGGTGGCGGCCGAAGCCCCCGGCGAGGCCTACCTGGCTCGGCGGCGGCCCGAGGGTGGCGGCGGGTCCGCGCAGCCGCGCTACAGCCTGGTGGCCGAGATCGGGCGCGGCAGCTACGGCGTGGTTTACGAGGCCGTGGCCGGGCGCAGCGGGGCCCGGGTGGCGGTCAAGAAGATCCGCTGCGACGCCCCGGAAAACGTGGAGCTGGCGCTGGCGGAGTTCTGGGCCCTGACCAGTCTCAAGCGGCGCCACCAGAACGTGGTGCAGTTTGAGGAGTGTGTCCTGCAGCGCAACGGCCTAGCCCAGCGCATGAGCCACGGCAACAAGAACTCGCAGCTTTACCTGCGCCTGGTGGAGACCTCGCTCAAAGGTAGGAGCCCGGCGGACCGGGACCGTCCCGCCCGCCCGCCCGCCCGCGCGGGGCCTGGACCCGCTGCTGTGGGCGGCTCGGCCAGAAGTGACCTCGGGACCACTGGGTCCTGTCACCCTGGGCCCAGACACACCCTCCTCTCTCTCTGGGCCCTGGCATTGGGGCCCGCGTCTCAGCCTGGGACCTAGAATGGTCCCTGGGACGGACGTTAACTGGTATTTTCATAACAAGCGCTCGCTAAGTTCTAATCATTGTCTCAATAAGTGCTCAGTACGTGCGAGCCATTAAGAAACGACTAGTACTTTTAAGATCGGGAGGGGAGGGGGTTGGGTTCAGAGTTGGTGGAAGAACTGTCTAAGCCCCCTCCTTCTCCAGGGCCTCCCCTCTTTCCCCTCCCTGCCTGGTTCCAAATATCCTCACAGCCCCCTCCCCCAGCTCCACCCCCCAAACTCTTGCTTCCTACCCTTCCTTCTCCTCTGAGACCGCCAGCCCGCCAGCCCGGCATGGCATCCCAGGGCAGTCCAGCAAGCTGCCGGCTTTCTGGCCGAGTCCTCTGGGGCCAGGGGAATAATTAACCCCCCAGGTGGGCCCAGAGCTCTCACATCACAATATCTAACGTCTTTTTCGCCCACTTTACATTCTTAAACGGTTTCTTAATCCTCAGAGGCTGGCATGGAAGTGGTTTTATTTACCGGAAAGACTGGGCTCAGTGAGGCAGGGGGCTTTGCCTGCCTTGGGAAGGCAATCCTAGCTTCCGAGATTTCATTGCAGTTAGGGAGTGAGTCCATCCTGGGTTCTCTGTACTCACACATCTTGCTCGTGTTCAGAGAGGAGAGGGCCATGGGCTAGGAGGGTCTGAGGTTATTCATCTGAGTCCCAACTAGGTCCTAATGGTCTTCCAGAGTGACTTTAGGTAATAATTTTAAAAGTCCTTCCTCTTTCTATGAATGGTGAAATTAATGATTACACATGAACAATGATGAAGGTTACTCAGTTTATAAGGGAAGTCGAGTTGTATTGCTGCTTTCTTTACAAACTTTTTTATAAATCAAGTGCTGTAAATCCAGATTTGTCTTGCTTCAAGGCCTAGATCCTTCCAAATTGGTAATGGTGCCCTCCCTAGCCCAGGATGAACCTTTAAGAATGGAGAGGATTTGGGGTGGGTTTGGATAGGGCATTTTGTTTGGAACTTTTGCCAGACTTTAAGATCTTACAACCTCATCCCAAGAGAACTCCCTGTCCCATTTCAAGTCATTGTTTGACGGTGGGTTGAGGGACATGATGACTATCACTATCACCTGGGATCCTTTTTCAAAATAGGCTTTCGCTTTATATGCCCATCCCTGCCCCATCCATCCCGAAAAGCGCACGCTCCCCCCAGGATGAATATATTTGTTTTGAAAGGATTTTCCAGTAGATTCTTTTAGCTCACCTGTATCTTATAAGCTCTTCACTTGACTCTCAGACCCCTGTCTCTGAAATGAGTGGTCTGGCCATTAGCCTCCTGTTGACCAGAAGCCTTACTGATGTATTTTATACACTGTACTAGAGGCTGCTGCCCCGCCCCCTGGTCAAACTCCCAGACAGGGGACAATTTGCATACTATATCTTCATTATATAGGATGCTTACAATAGAGTAAACTAGAAAAAAAAGGAGAAAATGTTAAGAAAATCATAAGAAAAAATAAATTTATAGTATTTATTGAAAAAATCAGCATATACAGTTCAAGCCCTTGTTCAAGAGTCAACTGTACACTATTAAAACTTCCCCCACCTGGAGAATTTGTCACAACTCCACAGTAAACAGTGGTTGATACCATGGGCATTGGAGTTAAACTCACTTTTATCATGGCTTGTCGGAACTGATTGCATGGGACTTGGGACAAGTTGTTTCAAGGCTGTGGGGAGCATTCCTTTATCCCTAAGATGACATCAGGTTGCTGTGCAGCCTGGGCGTGTCAGTAAGTGCCCAGATAAGGGGACCTCATCGCCTCAGTAAGTTTAGGCTGTATTTTGAATCTTCTGCCATCATCCCCTTTGAGATGGGCAGTGTTCTTGTTCAAGTCTCCCAAACTTGTTTGACCATGGAACACATCCCATTTCCTAGGAACACCTAGTTGACAGAAACATTGGTATTTTCTTCCTTTGTGAACTAAAACACCTATAGAAATGAAGTATGTTGCTTTAGGTCACTTACTTAATATGTTCCTTTCAGTAGTTTGGAGTGTTAATATATGAGCTTCTATTATGGGTCAGGTAATGTTCTTGACTCAGAGATGGAGCACTGAAGTGACATTGCCTCCACTTATGAAACTCACATTGAAATTTACATGTCAAGTGTTAATTTGGAAAGCAGTAAATAGGCATCCAGGGTTTTTTGTTTATTTGTCCTTTGCTATTAATATTAAAGTGGAGAACACTTTTTTGCTATAAATATTTAAAGTGGAGAACACATACCCAAATTACTCCATTTTCCCAGCTTCAGCTTCCAAAGTCTAGCAGTTTTACTCTGCCCTGTGGTGCTGACTTTACAACATACTGATATTCAGGAATGTTAGAGCTGGAAGGTATCTTAGAGATAATCTGGTTCAGCTGTCATTTAAGTAGAAAATCCTTTGTAGCCACCTTTTCCCAGTCTTCAGCAATTTAGGGTAATTTTGAAACAGAACAAAAAGGGTTCATCTGCCTTAAGGTCTCAGTTGAACCAAATCTACGTGCAGGCACACCTCCTCCATAGGTGTGGTTCACATCATCACAATGGAGCCAGTCGGAATCTTTTTGCTGGTGGAGGGTCTTCAGTTGGTTTAAAAATAAAAAGGGAAGCACATAAACGAGGTATGCCTGTACTCTATACTTTTACTGAGTCCCTGTAGTGTTATTTAGTTCACTGTATTTTACAAGCTCTTCACTTCATTCTCAGACTGTCTCCTCCTTCACCATGGTTAATGAATGGTCTGGACTTGCCCTAAAGGAACTTAATTTGGAAAGTTTGAGGACCTGTAGAAGACTTAAATTCTAATCAGGTCACAGGAGGAAAAAGCAGGTTGGCTCATTAACAAGGGCTTCCTACAGAATATTGTAAAGAATGAACAGGAATGAGAATCAGAAGTTGGCAGAGAAGGTGGGCCTGAAAGAAGGGAGCCTAGGACATGTGGGTAGGTAGTGAAGAGAGAAGGTGGACTCATTTATTTCACAGTTGGGTCAAATAGAGAATAGTGTTTCCCCAGCATTAGTATCAACTCTCTAGTGAACGCTCAGAGGCATTTCTGTAGTCTTAACTAATTATTTTGACACATAAATAATCCAATATCTAAAAGAAGAGGGCAACTTTTAAATTCAGTTCTTGGTCTTCTCTAACCTTGTTTAATAGGCTTCTGTGTCTGTCCTTTTCTCTCTGAACATACATGGAACAAGTCCTACCCAGACCATGATGTAGATAACAGAAGCTGCAGAGTCCATAGCGGTCTTAGGTGTCGATCTGGCTTTCTGTTTCACAGGGAAGGAAACTGAAGCCCATAAAAGCACAGGCCTTGCCCCAAAGGAGTTAGTGGTGGCATTCAGGTGAGCCTCCAGGCTTTTAAACACCAGATTAGCAATCCTGTAAATTATTTGGTTAATGAATTGGTGTCTTTATTTAACTTTTAAATACTTTTTACAAAAAGGAGCTAAGGCATCAACAGTTCATTTTTATCTCCTTGTTTCCTTTGCTAAAAGCACCTAAAACTAAATTCATGATTACTACCACTGAGAAGACAGCAGGCAAGCCTTGAGGTCAGTGTAAAACTCAGAAATTCTGGTGCTTTCTCTTACAGTACACACTGATCCTAAGGACAAAACAAACAAACAAAAATACAGGACAAACTCTCCAGACTCATAAAACCAAATTAGAAAGCGAGGAACCTTGCTTATCCAAACTTGGTAAACAGTAGCTCTGCTTTACCAGTTATTTGATGTTTGCTGCTCTTGGGATACCTTTAGGTGGCTTGACATGGGTGGGAATCTCGGCCTTTGGGAGGCAGTCGTGTCTGTGCACCGATGCCCAGTGATGACTGTGAGCCAGGCACTGTATTACAAGAGGCAACACAAAGTTTCCTCATTTGGGCAGAAGACATATGCCCAAATGATCCCAGCGGAAGGTCAGGAGTGATGGGTATCCCAGAAAACAGTAGAGGTTCCCTATGGGAGTATAGAGGCAAGGAGAAACAGGGAAGGAAGTAGACTTTAGTAAGCTGAGGGGGGGAGTGTAGTGAGGGGAGGGAGACCAGGGTCTTAGCAGTGGATTGGTTGTCAGCCTGAAAACTCCCCCCAGCCTGTTGATTGCCTGGGGAAACCTTGGGCTCAGTACCAGGTCATCAGTGCCCAGGCCTCTAGAACAGCGGTTGCCAACCTTTCGGATATCAAGGACCACCAGTGGTCTGCGGACCACCGGTTGGCGACCGCTGCTCTAGAAAGCAACTCTGAGTTCTCTGCTGTGCTTGGGGTCTCAGAGTTAAGGGAGTCCCCCAGTGAAGGCAGAGAGCTGAATGGTGGTCTTTGGCTTTCATGACAGTGACATAGGTAAAAGGCAGCATTAGGGGCCTTGGAAATTAATGGGATACAGTAGAACACTGGTATTGACTTAGAGTCCGGAGGTGTTGGTTCCAGTTTCACACTGATGCCCAGTGTGAATAAGAGCTAAAACTCACTGATTGCAGTGTGCCAGGTCTGTTCTGAAGGTTTTACACCTGTTAACTGATTCAGTCCCCCACAACCACCCTTGGAAGTCAATACTGTAATTATCCCTATTCTACAGGTGAGACAACTGAGGCACTAACAGCTGTGCTGCACTCTTGGGACAGGTGGCTTAAGTTCTGAGTGGTTCTGTTCTTCTGGATCGTTAAGTGGGCAGAAGCATATTTCACATAGAAACCAAAGGCTATTATTTAATTTTAATTATATATTGCCTGTGGAAACCGTTTTTAGTAGCCATTGGTTTCTGTGTGAAACCATTTTTAAGACCT